TTTTAATTAAAAAAAAAAAAGAAAAAAAAATTCAGTAAAAAAAACAACGGTGAAACCATTATTACATTTCAAGTTAAAAAGAAATGATAATAAGGATGAGAAGATAAAAAAAAAAACGTTAAAAAAGGTAATTGAAAAAAAAAATAATTACAAAGAAATAAATTCCAAAGTGGTCATGTACATTTACGCAAATTAAACACAAAGATTAATGTAAAACGTATCCTATGAGAGTATTTTCTATAATTCCGTGAATTTTGAGGAACGTTTAATTATGTATTAAACTAAATGCCCAATAATGCAAGAAATAATTAATATATTAATTAAACCATGACCTATTATACGAAAAAAAAAACCTCCAATCAATTACTATAAAAAAAGAAAATGAAAACCAATGACTTTTTTATTGCTATAATTTCCACTGAAAATCAGATTCTGCTCCAAAATGGTTTGTTGTATTATTGGTATAAATAGATGATGACGTTGAAGTGGATGTTTGTAAAATTGGTGGCGGTGGCGTTGGCCGATTCCCTCCTGTCGTTGTTGCAATTGGCGATGGAGCAATAGGAACATAATGTCTCGAATTAGTTGATGTTGACCCAGTAGACGTATTATTAATTGTATGTAAATGATGCTGTATCGGTGATGAGTCGGGTGGCGACGTTGTCCTTGTTATTGCCTGCTGTTGGTTATATGAATAATAATGATTATTTTGAAATGATGGTAAAATAGGAGGAGTAGGGAAAGAAGAATGTTGAACGATAGTAGAATTTGGATCTACTACCACTACATTCGGCAAAGGATTCGGTGGAGGCTGCATGCTTGCAAGAGTTGAAATCTCCAATAAACCTTGAATACTGGGCAAATGTATTCCAGAGCTTTGAGAAACATTAACGATTTTATTGCCGTTAGGAGATGTGGGTGATCGTAAATTCAAATCTTCCGGTCCATTATGAAATGGTCGAAATCCGTTAGTTACATATTTAGGATATTGATAATTAACTTGAGAAAATTGAGACCCATTAGGAGTTCCCGTGGAACTATTATTAGGAACTGCTATATGTATCGTTGATGAATTTGGAACAAGCGGCGAAGGAGAAAAAGTTGGAGATTCAGGTAAAAATGAAGATGGTAAATGTGGGCTTTTATTTGATTGAATTGATGATGAATTTCCATTCACTTGAACATGATTTGAACTAAATTTAGAAGGTTTAGGTCTTTTCGAAATTGGATTAAGTTGCGACGAATCCAAACTAGGCTTTCTCAATAACGGTTTTGATGGAATATCATCAGTTTCTTCAACATCTATTTCTGAATTTGAATCAGAATCAATTACGACGACATCAATATTCATGTTATTGGGTTGAGACAATGAAGAGGATCCCTTTCTTTTCTGATTAGAATGTTCGGAAATGGAAGATTCCAATGTATCAGCTGGTTCCTTCGATAAAGGTTCCGATGTTGACGATGTAACTGTGGGACCATTTGTGGATTGCTCGTCATTTTGTGATTTTGGATTAAATAATGGAACTGTATCCTTTTCTCCATTTTTCAATTTTTCCATTTCTTTCTCACGTTTATCCATACGTTGAGTTACCAACTAATTAGCAAAAAAAATAAAATAAAATAAATTTAATATTGTTCTTGATTCAATTTTTTTTTTTTTTTTAAAAAAAAAATACCTTTTCAATTAATTTATCAAGCTTTCGTCTTTTTGAAAGTTTTTCACTATCATTTGTAACTTTATCATTCTGTGAAATTGTCAAAGTATCATTAATACGCTTTGATATTAATGATTTAACATGAAGTTTAGCCAAAGACAATGTCCTGAAATCTTGATCTATTGACCTATCAAACTACGATAAAAATTATATTTAAATTAGCAAATTAAAATAAAATAAAAATTTAATAGTTTCTTAGATTCTCCAAAAAATTCTAACCTGCAGAGCACTTTTCCTTAAGAAATTCATTAAAAAAGATTCATAATGTGAATCAACAAATATTCGTTGACCATTCCTATTCTCACATTCTAGAACTTGTCCAGCATAGGTCTGTCTTGTTTCTCGAAGAACTGTCTATTTTCAAAATAAATAATTAAGAATATTATGATATCTTGTATAAAAAATTAGAGGGGGAAAAAAAAATACAATAAAAGTGATACAGTATTATTCATTGTTTAAATGAATCTACTTTAAGTACTTTAAAGAAATCCCTAAATAAAAAAAAAAAAAAAAAAAAGAAGAATCTTTTAAAATAAATATAAAATCATTTAAATTCTAAAGATAACGTTACCATACCATCAATGCGCAACTTAATTGTTGCATAACACTTGGACACATATACATTTGTCGATTTACAGTAAATGACACTTTGTTGGCCTTTAAATTCGCTTTCCCCTTGCCTTTCCATATTTTACCATTTTTCGTCTTGTTATTTAGTAATGAATTATTAATATCACCATTTGTATAAGGCGATTCAAGCGTTCTAAAAACGCTTATTGAATTAACTAATCCAGTTACGTTTGTTCCCTTTGAACCAATCGAAGGACAAGATGTGGCAGATATATTGACAATAACTCCAGCACTATTCGGAAACTACAATTATAAAAATAAAAGTACTATTTAGTTAAATTATCAAATTATTCAAATTATTTATATGAATTTTATATATTACCTTCGATTGTATTGAAGTTTGCTTTAAAATATCAGATTGGGTAGGAATTGAATTTAAATTTGACTGAAAATTACTTTTCAGAAATATATAGAAAACAATGAAAATAATGTAAACCATATTTTTTTTCTATAAAAAAAAAGAATTCATTTAAAATAAATGAAAATAATACCTTCGATACCATCCAATAAACTCTAAATTGTTCTCCTCGAAAAATTTTATGGCATCCTCACGTGAATTGGGTATTTCTTGCACTTCATCAGTCAACAATGAAGTAACAATTCTTTAAAAATTAAATAATATCGTTAGAAATCACTGCGCCTCGATGTTTTACTCCGCCTCAAAAAATTTACCTTTCCGATGCTATGAATTGACCGACACGACAAACGATAGTATTATCCGATCGATCTACATCACATGTTCCACCTAGGTAGCCTAACACTTCATGTTTAACGTCGGCATAGGCACAGTCCAATAATGCTGAAACTACAGATTCGTCAATAGACAGCCGAAAGTTACTATATTATACAAGAAAGAAAAGACATATATGTTTAATGTCTTAGAGAAAAATATATGCAATATCTCCATTCCCTTTTCATAATGAATACGGCAATCTACGCTTGTTTTTTTTTCGCTGACCACTCACAATGTAATTGGGAAGTGACTTGCTTACCCAACTGGGTCGTCAACTTTTGAAATTGTGGCATTCTTTTGTCGGGGATTACTTCGACCGACCATTCCTGCTGTACGATCTATAGTTGTGGACAACCGTCGCGAAATTGTAGGGTCCGTAATAGCTTTACTTTGTTGTCGATTCTCTATGGGTTCTGGACTATCCACCGTGGCATTAAATATTTTGCCATTTGTCATAGAGTTGTTTACATTCGACGTGCCGATGTCGTCTGTCTTTTGAGGCATCTTCAAGCGATCTATAAAGGAAAAGTAACTAGTTTCCCGAAAAAGTGAGTGAGAAGTAATGTTGAAGTCTATAACCGAGTTGGCTTTTTGTTGTAAAACCGTGCGATGGCTCAGATTTATGATGTTACTAAGTTCCTTTAATAACTGGTTTTTTTAATAAGAGCAATCTACGATTCGAAGAAATGGAAATCGATGTAAACTGGCGATCTTACAAAACGATCGTGAATTAAGTTTGTTAAGATCGTTCGAAAAAATGGTGGTTTTTTGTTAACTAATAGGAAAAGTTCTATGGTACACACTAAAAACACTACGAACTAGCATATCAGTTTTTTTGTGTTTATGAGGCTCAGAGAATTTACTATCGCTGTTTGGGGCGCCGTTAGTACTATAAATTGGGGATCGTGTTATAGCCAATCAAAATGGACATTAATTTGTACGATCATTTGATACACATGATAAACTGATTAACACTGATAATAACAAATATTATATATTATTTCAACATATTTACATCAAAAGAAAAAATGAAATAAAAAAATGTGCATTTTTGATAGATTAAAGTTTTTACAAACCTCCTTTTCCTTCTTATAAAGAAAAAAAAAAATGCACAAACCTGTAAAAAATACGTATGTATAATAAAATTTAAATAATTTACTATTCAACTAATTTTTTTTTTCTTGCAACTATGGTCTGTTATAATTAATACAATTACTTTTGTGTTATTAGTAATTATTTAACATTATTGTTTCTTTTTCCCTTATATTAAATGAGAAGGAGGTAGTAAGTAAAAAAAAAAATATATATGCACATCCCGTATGAAAGCCTTGAAAATCAACTAACACAAAGATAAAATATATATATAATGAATAAAAAAAGAATATATTGTCACATTTAATTTTTTAAAATAATGTTCATTTTAAGATTTCCTCGTCTTGATATTCCTTAAATTTTTTACAAATTAGGAAGCACCGAGACTTGGAAAAGCACTTTGATCATCAAGGTTGACGACGCCGCTACGTCCGCCGCCGCCACCTCCACGACGACGATTATCACGATCATCATAATTATTTTCGCGACGATCGCGTCCATCACCTCCACCTCCTCTACCGCCACCACGGCCACCACGTCCACGACCACGTCCGCGTGGGGCACCTCCTCCATGTCTCTCGAATGTTTGCGTAATTTCTACAAAATTTTTAGACTTATTCTTCTTGTTCTTGAGGCGATAAGATTGTTCCTAATGATTAAATGTTTGAATAAAATATAAATAAAAGATAACTTCATAATTTCAGCATATTTAATATTTTACTAACTTTCCCAGTAAAAAGAAAATCATCTTCTTCGTCCTTTTCAAGAGGGACGGCGTCTTTCCACTGAGAATCATCAACTCCTTCATTAGGTTTTCTAGCTTCCGGAAGAGTAATATCTAATAACTTTTGGGCTTTCTCGGCACGGTATTCGTCAAGAGTCTTTTGATTTTCTTCAGGTTCAGGAGCTGGAGTCGATTCATTGGCAGCAGTATCTTCATTTTTCGCAGCTTCATCTCCATTCCAAGCATCATTGGTTTCAGGTTGTTGCTCCCAACTACTATTTTCAGTTTTTTCAGCGGAGTTGTTCCAACTATCATTAGTAGTAGTATTACTTTCTTCAGGAACAGCAACACCTGCACTCCAATCATTATTTTCTTCGGTGGTTTTGTTATCACCCCAATTACCAGCATTGGCATCATTAGCATTATCACCCCAAGAGGAAGAGGCATTAGCATCACTGGGTTCTGCATTCCAACTAGGATTTTCAGTTGCAGTATTATTATCCCAAGGTGTTTCGGTGGGTTTACCCCACCCTTGATTTTCTTTCTTTTCACTATCACTATTAGTATATTAGTATTTAATCAATATTATAAAAAATAATCAAATTTGAAAAAATATACTCACTGTCTTCCTGTTCCGCTATGCCTATCATATTCACGACGTCGGCCGCCGCCGCCGCCGCCACGACCACCTCCACGACTACGATCACTTGGACGAGCACCGCGTGGGGTTCTTGTAGGATGATAATCACCGCCTCCACCGCCTCCACCACCTTCTTCACGACGGGAAAGACGAGGACCTACATTTCGATCACGAGGAGCTCCTAAAAATAATGAAACCCGAATTATTAATTAAATGTTATCAAAATATCTGTGAAGTTTTGAAATTCATTAAATATAATAGGATCTAAAGTTTATTAAATTATTAATTGAAAGCCATTTCAACGATTCTTTATCTTTTCTCGTAAGAAAAATTTCAAATAAATTTTGAGAGATCGCGGCATAAAGCTTTTTAAAGTAAATAATATATTTATTCTTTTAAACGAAAATACATACCAGATCTCGTATCTTCATTATTTCTGTTTGAAGCAGAAGGCTTGTGTCCACCTCTTTGAGGATACTCGTGACGAATTCTGGCCTCTTTGGGAGATGCACGAGACCTGTCAACTTTTTTCGGAATAACAACAGGTTGTTCCTTTGATTGTTCCACTTCTTTAGCAACGGCCTCAGGATCTGTACTCTCACCTAGGAGGTCGAAAGGATTTCGACTTGCAACACTCGCCATTATCAGGAAGAATTTGATGGATGGATAGAGACAATCCTTTTAATTAAGATTGTCGCGCCTATTAAAAAAAAATGCTCCATATATAGGTTTATAATTTCTAAATTTGTACTTAATTTTACTAATTCCAACAATTCTAACCAACCAAAAACTCCAAGAGATCGGTCACAAATTGCACAAATTGGGCGCATTTTGTTTATGTCAATCCTTTGTCATGTGAATATAGTGAGAATAACTGATTTATCAAGAAAAAAAAATCTCGAACTGACATCTACCAATAAAAATTCATGTACATTTTTATTACGTTAACACGATAAACGTCAGCAGTATCGTAATGATCTTCGAGACATAAAAATTTTGATCTCTTTTTTTTTTTTCATAAGCCGCGATTATTTTTCATAGATCGCGTCTTCATTTTACTTAGAGTCCTTTTTAGAATCAATTAAAGACTTTTTTTTAAGTAGTAAAATTAATAAAAATCATGTTACCTACCACTAATCCAATAACGATCTCTCAGAATACCACAGTGATTGTTCATCCTTTGGTACTTTTGTCTGTGGTTGATCATTATAATCGTGTAGCTAAAAGTACTAAAAAACGTGTCTTAGGGGTTCTTTTAGGACAAAACAATAATAAAACTGTCAACGTAGCGAATAGTTTTGCTGGTAATATATAAGTTTTTTTATCTTTTTTTTCGAATGGTTAAAAAAACGTGTTGAAAAAATAATGAACTTCTGTTTAATACAAAATAATAGTACCCTTTGAAGAAGATGAAAGAGATCCATCTGTTTGGTTTTTGGATCATAATTATGTTGAAGCCATGAATGATATGTTTAAGAAAGTTAATGGTAAATACTATTAAAAATTCTTTCAAAATCATTATCACTGGTCTAAAAAAAAAAAAAATTTTGAATGAATTAGCTAGGGAAAAGATGATTGGATGGTATCATAGTGGACCTAAACTTCGCGCATCAGACTTGGAAATTAATGAATTATTTAAAAGATATACTCCAAATCCAGTTTTAGTTATTGTAGATGTAGAACCAAAAGATATAGGCATACCCACTGATGCTTATTTTGCTATCGAAGAAATCAAAGATGTAAGTGAAGATCCTCTCAAAGTTGTTATTTTATTAAATTTTTTCTAACTCTGAAATTTTAATAATTAGGATGGAACAGCTACTACTAAGACATTTATGCATGTTCCTTCACAAATTGATGCAGAAGAATCAGAAGAAATAGGTGTAGAACATCTTTTACGTGATATTAAGGATAATGCAGTTGGTACATTATCAACTCGTGTTACAGATCAATTAAATTCTTTAAAAGGCTTACAATCTCGTCTTGAAGAAATTCGAGAATATTTACAAAAAGTTGTAAATCGCCAGTTGCCAATTAATCATCAAATAATTTATAATCTTCAAGATATTTTTAATTTATTACCAAATCTTAATGTCACTGATACTGTCAAATCATTTTCTGTAAAAACAAATGATCAATTATTAGTAATTTATTTGTCTTCTTTAATTCGTGCTGTTATTGCTCTTCACAATTTAATTAATAACAAAATCGAAAATCTTAAAGGTGAAACTGTTCAACCAATTGAAGAAGAAAAGAAGGAAGAAAATAAAGTTAAAGAGAAAGACACAAAAGAAGGTGCTGAGGTCAAGGAAGGAAAAAAATAAAGTTTTGTCTTGTAGAATTTCATTTGTTATTAAATTTATATATGATTTTGTATTATGTTTGGTCAATTAAAAGTGGTTTTTTTTATTAATATAAATTTTTGTTTATAAAAATTACGCATTATTAAATTTACAAATAACAAAAAAAAAAAAAAAATATTACATTAAAGTTCAACAAAACTAGTTTCACCGTTTTTGGTGGTAATTTTAACCATTTTTCCTTGAGGTACAGATAAAGTTCCATTAGTATATTCAAATATACGTCTACAAAATAAGGTATTTTTTTTTTTAGTAGGATTCAATCTAGTTTATATTATTATATTATATTATTTATTTATTTATTTATTTTTACCTAGTTAATAAATCTAAAGGAATCCATTGGGAGAAATCAGCATCTGGCATTCCCTTACGATTATCCGGAGTATCAATCGTTGCCCTAATCATTTCAAGCGATTAATATTTGACGAAGTAAACTTAATTAACTTAATTAACATATACTTATTATACTTACGGTTGGATAGCCATGACTTTTGTATTCTTTGGTAATCCACCTTTTTTTGAAGCTATACTATTGAATAAATGATGAACAGCAGCCTTTGCAATTCCATATCCAATAAATCCTAAATAAAATCGGATTAATATAAATATAATAAATTTATTTGAATATTTAATAATTACCTGGAGTAGATTGCAAGTCAGCTACACCCGTCAACATAAGAAAACCTCCTCTAAGAGGAAATTTAATTAAATTTAATTAAATTATAAAGTTTACAAGGAATAATTCGTTAAATTACTTACTCTTTTAGGTTTACAGTACTCAATTTTGACGCGATCAAGGAAGGATTCAAAATTTTCTTAATCATCAAATCCGCAGTCTCCAAAAAATCTATTAAAAAAAATCAAACTTTTAACAACCTTAAACAACAGATCAAAATCAAAACAAAAAAAAAAAAAAATTTCGAATTAACAACCTTCTTTAGCCAAATCACCCATACAAAAGCCACCAGCTACACATAAGATAGCATCATACTTTTCACCATTAAGTATTGAATTAGAATTTTGTATAACTTTTTTCCCTTGTACTTCTAAAGACTCTTCTTTATTAGAAACTACAATATTATGAGCAGCTTCTTCATTTGGACGCGTTCCAATTGAAGTCACTTCCTAAATAATATCACATATATGAATACACAATTTATGACATATTATATAATAAAGGCGTAAGTAGCTTACCCAATTATTCTTGTTGAATAAGGTAATTAGACTTCTACCTAGGTTACCAGAGCCTCCATAAATAACAACTCTATGAGCCATTTTTAACGTTACAGTTATTTAATGTTACAGTCATATAATATATTAAAAGAAAGACTGATCAAGAATTTTGGTACACTAGGTACACTAAGAATTAACTGTATATGGTATGCAGAAATTTTCAGGGGTCAAAATCACCGATAATCGAAATGACTAAAAAAAAATATTTTTTTATTCAGACAAAACTCATTCTTTAAATAAAGTTATTTTTCCTTAAATAGACAAGTTTAAATAGTACAACTTTTTTTTTAAGTTCTAACTTTTTTATTTAATAATTTAATTTAACTAACTATTTATTACCTTTCACTTACTTGGTTAATTATTCTGAAAATCTCGTGCTTAACATCTTACAACTAGAAGGTTCCTTCTCATAATTAAAATATTTTAGTACTCGATCATTATTAATTCCCTTGCATAGTCAATAAATATTATTTCTATTATTAAAAATTTTAACATAGAAAATCATACCAAAAAAATCGGCAAACAACAATATTATTTTTTTCTCATTGTCTTTAATTGTCTTATAAAAAAAAATAATTTCATATTACTAATAAACAAGTATAGTTTAGTCTGTTAAACAGGTCCGTGCAATACGTGTAAGATTTCCGGTGACTAGTGATAACTGATTTACCATTATCGCGAATTTAAAAATGCTAAAGATTCAGATTTTAATTTTAAAAAAATTTAATATAAGTACAAATTGTTTATAATGCGATTTGTAAAAAAAAAAATATTTAAATAATAAAAGGAAAAAATATACATTTACGAATTTAGGGGAAAAATTTAAAAGAATGAATTACTTGCAAGAACTAAAAAATTTACTAAGCTAATTTTAAAGAATGTAAAGGCATTTATGGAATGCTTTCTCTATTACATATACATATATAATAACTACTATTTGATAATCTACTAATATAATAAATAAATATGTAAAAAATTATAATAATGTTTTGTTTTTGCTATCTCGTTTTCTTTCTTCCATTATCCTTTGCTTTTTGCTTTTTCAATTTTATATTGCTTAGTACTTCACCAAGGAATTCATTTCAATTTCTTTGTCGCGTTCATTTTGTTGTTTGCTGTCCCAATATATATTTATTTGCGCGACTCATTACGTTCCTCTTATTTAATAATTACACTAATTAAATTTAATTGCAGGATAATTTTTTTTTTTAAAAAAAAAAATTCTGGTTTTTAATATGCCAAGTGAAAAAGGTAATGATAATCAAAATAAATTTCGATTACATTTTAACATAAAAAAAAAAAAATCTGCCACAATAATGTAGCAAAGCAAAAGCAAAGCGAATATTATCTTAAAAATAAAGCAAGGAAATCTTTAAAAAAAACTGTACAAAAAGAAAAAAAAATGAAGAGAAAAAAAAACCAAACCAATAATATAACCAGGTATTATAAGACACAAAGAATAAAAAATTATCAGTGATGAAAAACACGATTTTTTACAAGATTCCACCCAAAATGTTCATAATTGATTTCGCTAATGAAGGAAGGAATGCATTAATAACTATTATTCATCCCTAATAAGAATATAAAATTAAGCTATTACATTTTTTTTTCCTTCATTAACGTTGTTTAAATCAATATCTCATCATACCGGAACCTGGAGGTCCATTAACGTGATTTGACATATGTGGAGGGACTTGCGACATTCCCATCGTTCCCTGTACATTAGGCATACCTGCATTTGTGCCTTGCATAGTCATTCCAACGTTAACATTCATTGTATGCCCAACGTTCATTCCAGACATATTTGGTGGCATCCCTCCAACATTAGGTGGTATTGTATCTAATCCCATCACTCCATTAGCTTGAGCAATTGGACAATCCTTATGTGCAAGCAATAATGTTTTTAAATTAAGAATCTCTTCACGTAAACTTTGTGCCTGACTTTGCAAAGTCTCGTTGTCGTTTGTAAGATATTCAACTTTAGCTTGTAAATTAGCAAGCCACTGTTTCTTACGTTGACGGCATTTGAGTGCAGCTGTTAATAAATTATTTTATAAATTATTGGAAATTACGAAATTATAAGAATATGATGAATATTAATTAATAACTAAATTACCTTGACGATTTCTTTCCAAAAAGTTTCTTCGTTTTTCTTCATCCGTCATATCACTTTTAGATTTTTGACCATTTTTCTTTACAGGGGGTTGTTCTGAAATTAAATTATCTTCAGCTTTTCGACGTGCATTACGAGGACTTTTTATTGGACTGGAACTGGCTGATCTACTACTATCATGATCCATCGATTGACTAGTAATAACTGATCCTTTATGTTGTGATGATATATTTGAACTTATACCATTAGTATGTGTTACATTATTTAATACAACAATAGGATTACTTGAAGACTGCGTAAAATCATCTTTTTCGGTCTTTGGCATGATTGTATGAACTAATGGATTTGTTGCCATTGCAGCCATGGATCCATTTGTCATTCCAAGCATATTTGTCGCTGACACGGAAGGTTGAACAACCCCAGATTGTGATGTAGGAACACCAGAAACGGTGGCACCGGAATTTGTAGATATTGTTTTACGTTCTGAATCTGTAAGAGGTTTTGGGACACCTTGAGTAAATACATTACGATTAAAAGGGTCTGTAGTTGCCATTGCAGGAATTGAATTCATGAATGATGTAGCCGAACTTGTGCTCGTGGCTATGGCCCCAAAAAGTGCAGCAGTTCCAGGCGATGCATCTGTGAATGAACCAAAAGGAAGTGGTGTAGTTCCTGTACGCCCATCAAACATCATAGACTCTTGTGGTCCCGTTAAAATAGAAGGTGACAATGGACCAGTTCGTAGTGACTGTAAACTCCAACCATATTGTTCTTCATTAGCACTAATACCAGCCGATGGACTTTCAAGTTGTGCAACTGGAGGTAAACTTGGTTTTGGACTATTTGTTCCAGTACTTTCTGAAAGGGGATTGGCTCCAGAAAAACTTTGTTCAAATGGATTTGGTTCCAAATCATGTTTTGAACAAGCAGCTAAAAATCTTGTAGGAGTTTGTTCAACTACCAGTTCTTTTGAAGGTAGTTTACTGGCATTTTTAACCGGCGAAGATGAAGGTGATTCGGATGCAGATGTTTCGGGAGATCTGCCGGCTGAAAAAAAAATAGAAATTTCGGAATATAAGTATATGTTATGTTCATTCGCGTTTTTATTTTTTGTTCAAATAATTCTGTTCTTTCCTTTTTCATAAGAATAATTTTTTTTTTTTTTTCATTTACTCTAATTTTTATAATTAAACATAATATAC